ACATTTTTGCAGAACTTCAAACACATACCTTATACTATACCATTCACTGCAGTTTCCAGCTGAAAACTGCCATTAGTGGCAGTAAATCACCAAAACCTTTTCACACAAAATATGATTACAGGGCACATTATCAGTTAATAAAGACATTATTTTTCTTGCATAATACATGTTATGATCTCAGAACACTTATCAAAGTGCATGATTTGTAAACTAACATTTTGCTGAACCAGATTTAAATGTATGGCTTTTCTGATATAGTAAACTTGCTCAGCAGCTCAGCTGGTACAGCACTGTACTTTTGATGGGGAGAGCTCAGGTATGAGTAATGATAAAAGATCTCAAAGGCTTGTAGAAGCAAGCAAAACGTAGCATGGTTGCTTCATCAAATATGTTTTTATGTCACATTTGCTTGTGTTAACACTTTAAGTTAGGTTTAGGGTAGGGTTTAGTAAAAGCTATTTTCAAAGGTGCAAGAGCATTAACCTTTAGCGCCACTCACTTGTCATTTCATTTTAAAATCTGCTGCATTCTACAAAAACCAACTTAATAAGATGTTGCCGCATTCACCCATATTAGCTCTGGATGAAACTGAACTGAACTGGGGTCTCATTTATAAAATTCTCCGTAGATTTCATCCTAAAAGTGTACGCATGCACAAAAGCTAGATTTTGCGTACGCACAAAAGTTTTCAGATTTATAAAACCATGCGTATGCCAGAACCTGCACAAAAATCCCTGTATAAATCCCAGTCAGGGGAAGATTGTGCGTACGTGCATCTGCACCCCGACTTCTCCCCGAAATCACCATATATGGAGCGTACAACGCCTAGTTTTACTATGCATAACCTCATCTGCATATCATTTCCATGCATATTCCCATCCACGTGACACCATGTTTAACACCGTTAAAGGTACAACACATTAAGGAAATATGAGATACGGACTATAAATGCCATTTGTGCCATACACATTAATTTTTATTGCTAAAAATCATCCGGTATCCTTGTTAAAATATATTGTTTTAGAATAAATATATCAAAATATCCATAAAAAACTGTTTAAAATAGTTCTCAGATAAATATT